CTTACAATTTGTAAAAGCAAGAGCATATTTAAATATCCTTACAATCTTAAAAACTTTTGCTCAAATAATTCAGGGGAAGAGGGCTAGGAATCGCCTCAGATTGCCTTCAGAGCATCGAGAATCGAAAATTGTGACGACACTACATCCCAGTCTCAAGGGCGGATCGGGGGGGGGGGGGGGGCCAAAGGGGGGCCATGGCCCCCCAAAACGAATCAATTTAGCTGATCGTCTGCTAGTTAGCTGCTCCCACTCATGTGTGAAAACATGGTGAAAATAGCGTGGGTACCAAAGATATAAGCGTTCCACACCGCGCTGTACGTACCGTACGTACAAAGTCATAGCACACTCCCTGATCTGGGATATCACGTACGTGATATCCCACAGGGAGTGTGCCATGACTTTTTATAAACTTAACACGTGATCGTTCTAGGCCAATGAATATAGAGTATTCAAGACAGAGGTATAACAAAGGTTGATGTAGTCTACGCCAGGCATGCAGCCGGGATATATCAGAGGTATAGTTTTCTAACAAAATAAGTTTTGGTATACACAATACACGACCGAGTGGTTGTACACGCACATTTAGCGACTTACCATTAATTTTGTAAACTGATGTCATCCTGTGCCTGTAATTAATTGCCAGACTTAATAGGCAATTATACTATTATCGGATAACTGAAACACCTGTTGTGAAAGTCTGCCACCAAAAAGCTGGAAATAAAGTGAACTAAGCTTTTTGGGGGGGAGTGGGCGGGGTTTGTGGGATGCCCGATCTCAATAAATCATAGAAGATAATTCCCAGAGATTTTATTGAATTAAAATATGAAGGGATTTTGTTAATATCTCTACTTGTCTAGACAGAGTTCCGGAGAAATACGGCGGTAGAAAATGCAGAAATGGCTTGAAAACAGATTTTATTTCCAAGGAAAACGTGTGCCTTTTTATTGAAGCTTAAAGGGGTCATAATGATACGATATTTCTCAATGGATTTTTTTTTTACATTGTATCGTTGTGCCTTATTCACTGTCATTTTTAATTTGAATCCACTTGTAAGGGTGTTTGAGGGAATCTTTGGTTTTATTGCTCCATAATACAAAGATGCATATCATGATCAAGGCAGTAATGCCACCTTGGACACGTTAGTGTTATGGTTACCATAGCATGAAAACGTGCAAAGGTTTTTGCATGCAGATGCATCTCTTTGTTATTTGATAATGTACATCGAGGCTAGCTTCTGTGCCAACCTTATGCACGAACTGCTACCATGAGCTATAGTGCAAACTGTTAGTTTCTGTATTATGAATGGGATAAATATGTGCTTGGCCGGTTTTAAACACTACGTTTAAGACCGGTTTGGAGTCTGGACCCATTTTTAACATACAATAATTTTATATCAGCACTAAATAGATAAGTTAAAATCACTCTTATTTTTGGGAACAACAGTGAACATCGGACAAATATTTCACACAATTAAAGAAAAACTATGAATTAAAATGAATTGAGGTGTACACCGTTTAAAACCTGTTTGTACCTATTATTTATTTATTTTGTAATATTATTTTACAGTTTTGCACGTAAATTACAGAAAAGAGTTAATTAATTCTCAAATGAGTTTTTACTGTAACTGTCTGTCTCTGCATTTGTCTTCTGTATATAATGACCCTTTTGGGGTTATGTAACTACGTACTAAATGGGATTCAGCTTTCTGCTTTGTTCCCTGTGATTCTTATTAAGTGCCATGTACAGCTCACAACTCCTGTTGGGTTGTGATGCACTATATTATAGAATGACCAGTCATCCATAAATTTCATAAAGAGTTACTTAATTTATTTATAATGTGTTGCCTCCTCTGTTTGGCTAAAAAAAAAATGAAGAACCAGTTATTAATCACAGGACTTCGATATGATAGGATTTTCATTTAAACAAATACAATAAAATAAAAAACATGAAATATAAATATGAAAAGAATTTTGCGAATAGGATAGTCCGATGCGTTGCAAAACAAAAAATCCCTTTTAATAAATGGAATGCCATGCATGAGAATTTCAAACCATTGAACCCTACATCCGGCTCAAGAGCCTGGCAACACGCACACAAACAGACAGAAATACACTTCATTCGTCCAAAACAAAAATTGAAAGCGATTCCGTTTCACTGGATAATGATGAGACCCAACAGTGTTGAAGAGCTTCACGACTCAAGGCTTTTGCGCAAATCAGATGAACCAGAAATTCAACCCATGGGCAGAATACACTGCATGTATATTATATGGATTTAGTCCAGGCTTTTCGCCGCAGATCACCTGTAAATTATCGAAATGGAAATCATGCCCTGACCAACTTTGATCTTACTCTTTATTTTTCAATGGAATGCAGCTTAAAGAAGTGAATAAATCACTTGAAATCATGACCGCAGTCCCGCAGACGTGTTTCTTAAAAACACCTGGACAGTTTTAGGCTTGCTGGTTCAATTGCCATAGAAAAATCACCAATTGATTTTTACTAAATCACTGATTATAAAGGATGACCATTCAGTCAAATTTTGTCAAATTTCATTTTACTTATCTTATTTCAAATCTCTGGGTCACATTAAAAATGTACAAAGTCTTGTTATAACAATCAGTAAGGAAAGTAGTGAACGTTCATATCGTCGGGTGCGTGGAAGAAGCTTTAATAAGGTCGTTAGAGCAAAAAATGGGTCAAAAGGTCAAATTCGGATTTTTCGGGTAATCGGTAGCATGGAAATATCTTTCATTTGATAAACATTTTGTCTCAAAGGGCTACGTCATAACAAAAGTCGTCAGGAGGATTTTCATTATTTGTTCACGGCAAAAGGTCGTTAGCGTGTAATTCTAATGTAACAAAATATGTTCTAAGTGCGCTAACGTCCCACTCAAGTGGGTACGCAATGTAGAGATATGCATATTCATGTATGTTCATGTACAGCGCATGCGCGCTGGGGACTGAAAATAATAAAGCCATCAGCCATACCACATGGATGTTCACAAACTAGCCGTCTTCGTCTAGCCTTATTTCACCATGACTACCCGCCAAGCCAAGTTTATTCCCGGCAAAAGGTCGTTAGGATGCCGCTTAAGCGCACGTTTAATGCAGGGTGAGTTCATGTTTAAGGCAGATGGAGTTCCAGGTAAAAGGTCGTAAGCAGAAAAAAATGAAAATACTTCAAAATTAAGTAATATTTTGAAATGATATTATTGTAATTATTAACGACTCTCACGAGTCCAGATTTCAGCCTTATGAGATTTTTAATTTAGAATGGGAGCGCAAAACCTTTCAATTCGATTATCTCCAAAAGTGCTTTTTGCGTGCCTGGGCTGCTTACGACCTTTTCCTTGGCACACGACGACATTGTACTTTTTAACGATCTTCCCAATTATAAACACTCCATGGAAACACATTTTCGAGCCCTATATTTTACGTGACACGTGGTATTCGCTATATTTCCGCCAAGATTATAATTATTGCGAAAAAAAGTTTCCTGCAAAGACAGTTGACCTTAAATACTTGTACATCTTTAATACATTCTGCACAAATTACTGCTATAATATAGCTTTACAAGCCAATATTATACTGTGTTGTAAAAGGCTTTCCCGTCGCTCACCGGTCCCTGGGGATTTAATTGTTTCTTGTCCCTTTGACAATCTGTTTTTGTGTCTGTCTGCCAGCTGGTTATATTCCAGTGCGTAGGCCTACTCTTAGTTTCGCTGTGCGTCTAATAATGTAGTTTACAGTACACAAAATTATATTGGCATCGAAGGATTGTTTCATCAGATTGTAACTCTTACGCGCTTCAACCATCGACAAATTGCATGAATATTGAAGAAGAGTAATTAATCTCTCATTAGCACAGCAGCAGCAGCAGCAGCAGCAGCAGCAGCAGCAGCAGCAGCAGCAGCAGCAGCAGCAACAAAGCACCTTTTCCAAAGGATACAAAGCGCTTGGGGAGAATGCAACCAAAGACAGGTAACTGAAGTATATGAACACATGTGCAACAACAACAACAACAACAACAACAACAACAACAACAACAACAACAACAACAACAACAACAACAACAACAACAACAACAACAACAACAACAACAACAACAACAACAACAACAACAACAACAACAACAACAACAACAACAACAACAACAACAACAACAACAACAACAACAACAACAACAACAACAACAACAACAACAACAACAACAACAACAACAACAACAACAACAACAACAACAACAACAACAACAACAACAACAACAACAACAACAACAACAACAACAACTACAACAACTACAACAACTACAACAACTACAACTACAACAACTACTACAACAAAGCACCTTTTCCAAAGGATACAAAGCGCTAGGGGAGATGCAACCAAAGACAGGTAACTGAAGTATATGAACACATGTGACCCATTATGTAACACCTTTTTGCTAGGTGCTGCGGCGCATATTGCAGCCACTGCCAGAAACACCAGGGCAAACCTCTTCTCTTAGCGATAAGTGTTACTGGCTTCTTTAACGTGCATTAAAAAACACACGGGACCTACGGCTTTACGTCCCATCCGAAAGACGATGCAATAATGGTAAAGTGCCTTGCTCAAGAGCACAAGCACCATGCTCCCACGGTCAGGATTCGAACCCATGTACCACAGCACACGAGTCGAACACCGTAACCATTGAACTACAGCGCCCCACATCTTCCAGTGGGTAACACAAAACAGCCCACGCACGGATCCTTGTGTGATTTTTTTGGGCTGTAATTTCTCAAATTTACAGTATTTTAATATTAAAAAGCTCCAACGTAGATGACCAATGACGTACCGCGTTCGTTGATTATGCAGGCATCACCTCTCCCTCGCGTTATTCCGGTATAATGATATTTTTGCTCACGCGTTGCAGCTGCTCATCAATGAAAAAAATTCATACCAAATCCAGTTGCGCGTGGTTGATGTCATAGCATTGAATTGCATTGCCAGTTGCAATCCAACAGTTCTGTGAATTTCACTTGGCAAAACACTGGGCTTATTCACACTGTGTAGGCCTACATGACACAATAACAGTGTTATTAAACATATTAAGATTGTTACATAAAATAAGATTGTTTCACCTACGTTTTAGCCATGTTGAGACAAGCCAGGGTTCGTCCGGCTGAGTCCGAATCGCCGAGATGTGCTACTCAGTCGGTTGAACTCGAAACCGTCGGAAATCAGGGTACAAGGTGGAGGCTCTGTCTGTGCCTGGGACTCCAAGCGGACACGAAGAAGAAACAACAGCGTCGTCAAGTGTGGAGAATGGTGGTAATGACACTCATCCCGATCCTGGCTCTGGCAATCCTGGCGGTAGTTCTGATGACCAACTCCAGTGCCGACAACGTCCGGCTGCAATGGCTGAGGAACGAGGTCGGCGGTAGCGTGGAGAACGCCGGTCAGTTGATCCACCGCCTGCAGATCGAGAGGGGAATGACCGCCTTCTACCTGTCATCCGGCAACAGAGAGGAGCTGGACAATCTCCAGGGCATCTACGAGCAGACCGACTCGGCCATCGACAGAATCTCCTGGGTTAACGACAACTCCCATGCGGCCCCGGCATTTTTTGAACATAAGGAGTACTACCGGGCTCATCTGATCCGCTTTAGAAAGAATCTCGTGTCACCAGAAGGGATAAATGTGACCATCTCCGACGTCATGATCTTCTACACAAATGACATTGACATTATCTTAGGGTGGCTTGCAATGGGAATAAAGCTTTATGATCCCGCCGGCGGGCTCTGGTCCAAACTCATCTCTTACCAGCTACTGCTTCTAGCCAAAGAGCACACCGGCAAAGAGAGAGCCATCGGAAGTACGTTCTACTCTCGCGGGGGTTTCAGCCAAAACAATGACTTCATCTGGTTCATGAACGAGAGTGTCGCGGGAAAGAGGTTCCTTGACATAGCCTTACAGTTCTCATTGTTTCTGGAAGAAGCCTCAGAGGGGATAATCGACGACACTGTGACGAGTCAAATCGAGGACATGCGATCCGAGATCCATCTCAATAATCACCAGTTGCTGGAACCGTCACTAGCCAAGGGTGACAGGTGGTTCCAAAATATGACCCATTTCATCAACGACCTCCTCCAATTACAGACTAAAATGGGCAACTCGATCATAGAGGAGCTGAACTCCGACATGCGGTGGAGCTTGTCCTACGTGGTGGCCTACGCCTTTCTGCTCTCCACGGTTCTCATCACGGGTCCACTGATCATCCGGGGCATCATCCGCCAGACCCATCGCATCCAACAGGTAGGCGACTCCCTGCATCGCAAGACGCTGGAGCTCCGAGAAGAGAAGATGAAGTCGGACTCGCTACTGTATCAGATGCTTCCAAAGGTGGTAGCTGAGCAACTCAAGCTCACGGGCCAAACACCCGCCGAGAGCTACGACGAAGTGACGGTGTTCTTTTCAGATTTGGTCAACTTCACTGCCATGTCTGCAATTAGCACCCCCATGCAGGTACGGTTTTTTTTTTTTAATTCATAGTAACAGTGACAATGTTTACACCGAATGATCTTGAAATATGGCGCGGATGAGTTTCAACAGAATACCAATAGCTCCCTTGTGGTGCAGGGGTATGCACGCGCGATTTGAGTCTGTACAATCAACAGCAACTTAATTCCACTCACTTCATTCATGGCAAGGGAGCAAATTTATTGTCACGTGAAGAAATTTGGAAACCTCGAAGGATACCTGATCACAAAGGGCTAGCATGTTTGCATGCGGTAATTATGCCGTGATGCACGATCTGGACTATTGTTAACTAATACATCCCCTCCGCCGCATATCATGCTTCAAATGACGGTAACATTGAAAATCTCATGGCACTGTTTACGACACGATTTTAAGCTCCAAACCTTCATGCATGTTCATCGGATGTAGGAAATAAGCACATCATTATCAATTGCCAAAAGAGTGAGACACATGGGCGTCGCCAGGATTTTTTCTAGAGGGGGGCAAAATTTTTTTTGCCAAAAAATGCTTGTATTTCTCAACACATTCTCGATTTATCAGTTTTAGAGGGGGGCAGGGACATTTTGCCCCCCTCCCCCAACTCATTAAATTTACACCACTTTGTCTTCGCGCCTCTTTTTTTTTTTTTTTTTTTTTTTTTCCTCTTTTTTTTTTTTTTTGCTTTTCCGGGGGGGGGGAGTTCCCCCCTTGCCCCCCCCCCTCGCGACGCCCATGGTGAGACATTAGAAATGTAGGCACAATTAACCCCGAGAATCAGCTTAGGCAATGAACGGTAAATGAAACCATTTTGCAAGTTAACGCAACTTGTCAACAGTGCTCCATAGAATAAAAAAGACCCTTTTCCGCACCTTTCTTTTTTAAATTAAAAGAACATATGAAGACCAACGTACCTTTTATCGTTCAGTATTCATTTTTTTTCCCTTGCATTTTTTTCCATCCTTTCCCCAGTACTCAAGAATTGTCCCCCTAAATAACAACAATGACGCACGACTGTATACTATGCCATGCAGACACTGTAGCTCATCACATGTACATTATGTCTTCGGGGACAGTAACCCCTCGCTACAAACCACCTGCTGGTTACGAAGAGAACATCTTTGCGCGTCCTTAGAGAACTTTATCAAAATGATTTAGGGCCTAAAATATTTTTGGTTATTTTTCTAATAATTTGTTTTGCATATAAATCCATGCAACATGAGTGAAACAAAATATTACGAAATTCCTTTCATATTCCATGTGGTAATGAGGATCTAGCTTTCAGGAAGCGGGAGGTTGACATGAAGGCGGGGCGTGAGTGAAGGCGTGCTGAAGACACACTCTAATGGGGGTCCGGAGGTCCGGGGGCTTAGCCCCCCCCCCAGACAATTTTGAAATCTACGATACTTTCTACTGCATTCTACTATATTCTAATTTAATTTCGGAACTTGGCCCAGTTTACTAGTATCATAACAGTCAGCGGCTGACCGGGGATGCAACACCCCCCTCTAGATCCACTACTGTTGTATTTGAAAACAAATTCACTCTTCACTCCTGTGGACAATGTCTTTGCGATTCACTGACAGCTCCGGGCAGTCATGTCACGTCCTACACTAAAACAACTATCAAATATTGGTTCACATGCAGCTCCCAATGGTGGTTGAACGGTAGGTGGCGCTCTGTTGCCTCTAAGGACAGCCCAAAACACGTTTACATGTATTGTTCTCGACAACTTTTCCAGGATAAAAAAAAAACAATCTCGAATTTTCTCGAAAAGTATTTGGTTTAGAAAATTCGGGCTTGTACCAGTTTGCTGTCCTACTATCCAGCTTTGCATATAATACATATCAAGCCAGCTTTAGCGCGTCGAAATCAACTAATAAAAGGTCTATGAATAAAATGCAATGCCCCAAAAACTGGACATGATTAAAATACATTGAATCCTTTTCTATTTGAGCATTTTTTTTCATTTGAAGCAACAAAATTGCTCAAAATCTTAAGAAGGGTGCCCAACAACTAACCTGTTGAATTTACAGCTCAGTGGATACCATACATGTTGAGAAAAAATAGAAAACGTATGCACTATTTTTTTTTGGGGGGGGGGGGGTTCTCGTTACTGGTTTTCGTTGCTAACGCACGTAAAATACTGAACCCGCGGGTACACTTTCTTAAACCACCTTCAAGATGATTTCGCTGGGTATTTGGTACAAGTCCTAACTCCACTTTGGGCTAGGATTTTCCATTGAAGTCGATGTGTCAGTTTTCGCAGCAATTGTGACATTGAGTCGTCAAAATTGTAAGATACACACGTCACTGTTTCTGCATGATACAGGCTTCGTCAGAACACGCCTTTTACAATTGTCCTATGACCGTCGACAGTCATGTCATGTGGGCAAAAATTAATGTACACGTGAACTAGCTTTCTGCACGCGTTACGTACTCGGCATAACTTCGAAAGGTGCTGGCACTATAATGGCCTATAAAGCGCCCTCAGTGGGCGATTTTATACGTCCGTTTTCTGGTCAAGGATATCGTGCATGGTGGTTGTTGACTATGATTTGACTATGCATACTAAAGTACTGATGATGTCTGCCACATCAAAATGTTGTGAAGAAGATCATACAGAGCATGCTCAAAGAATTAAAAGTATTCAACTCTTGTCCCAGCCATTTTGTACTGATTTATCGTTGTAACTCTTGATGCTTTATTGGGAGCTGAGGAGCTCCTAGCTAGTCCGGGTGTTGGGAAATAATTGTCGATTATGCACACCGTATACACGACTGCGCCTTCTACCGTGAAGTGGAAGATTAATTCATTAAATGCCATACTCGATTCCATGGAAACACTGTGTATCATTTGTTTCACCGGTTGAACAACTGACTTGGCAAACAAAAATAAATGCTAACGAATAACCATGCATCTGATAATTCAGAAAATCTCCCTTTGTATCAATTATGATGGGAAGGGGAAAACCTAAAGGAAAATCCGTAACTGTTCCGGTTGGCAGCCGGCCATGGAAAATTATGAAAAACGGCAGGCGGGATGGGGGTGGGGGAAGGGGAGGGTTGGCAGGGGGTGGGGGTGGGGCGGATGGGGGAGATGGGGAGGCTGGACACTCCGACGCTTGGGTGCTGTTCAAGGTGTATACGTGTATAACCAAGTATAGCTGCATTGCAGGCCGTCGCATTTTCTGTTTTAATTGGGGGGGGGGGGTGTCTCGAACCCGGAGGATAACTCAGTGGCATCACATTGTGCTTAGTTGCGAATTTCCATATACATGAGCAACGCAATGACGCCATCTGAGGCGTTCAGGTGCTGCAATGTTTGCTTCATCACAGATTGACAGTGTGTTTTTGTCTTTAGACATAATCAAAGAAGTTAGAACAGTTAGTAGAGTTTTGAAAAAAAAAATCAGGCCTAATAAATAAGTGATAATGAACATTCATACAAAAATATAACGCGCACACGTCCACATACGATATGTGTACATTGACAATTATAAGATACATTTGCTGAGCCACTCAATATTTGTATACTATTCCACAGACGTAATCAGCTACACGACCGGATCTGTTTTCCAAGGACCAGTAAGATCTTCGTAAGGACAGAAGATGTTGCTTTGCATGGATTAGATAAGGCTGTGATTGTAGTTTGGTGACATCTAACAATGTGGATGCATTGAGATATAACAGACCATGAGCTTGTACACTTTTCTTAATGTGTCATGTAACGTTACATTAAAAGTACATTCTTCTAAAGCATATATCTGCAGAACTGCTGATCCGATTTGGTTGTAACTTGCTTTGCACCTAAACCGGAGTACAGATGAAAATTGAAGTGATGTCATGATGACGTCATATGACACGTGATGAAGGTGAATTTCTCTGAGGCCTATATGTACGGAAACGTTGGTCTGATTTGGTTGTAAATTGGTATGTACCTTAACCGGGATATATTAAAGAAGAAAATTGAAGTGACACCATGATGACATCATCACATGCCATGTGACGTCACATTAAAGGTACATTTTCAAAGACCTATCTACAGAACTATGTGTGTGCAATTTGTTTCTAAAGGTTAAATTTTCAAAGTCCCGCTTATTTTAATGCCTCGTTTCCCTGATGCATCGTTGATGTGGCATTTGAAAAGTGTGCTATCTTCAGAAATACACACATCTGATCACTCTGCAATTAACATGTATGTCCTATCAGTCAATAACATGACATAAACATGCAATAACAAAATGCCGAAACAGCCATGTGTTTGTCTTAAACTAGTTTTTATTGGAAGCCAGTTGTGGTGTATAAGAAGATTGGAGTTACATCAAAGAAATCATTGACTAATGGTTGAGCTGAAATCTTCCAAGATTGGGACCCAAGTAGCAGGCGAAGCCGAAATGGAGACTACGGCGAGTTTTGTAACCGTCGTCAGATTCAAAATAGTACATGACACGGCAAAGCTCGCCCCTAGTACGATCCGAGTGCATGCTCAAAGTCGTCATTGAATTTCAAGTTTTCTCAATGCAAGCAATGAATATTATTTATCAACTCATTTTTTACAATTTGAATAAGCATAGCAGGTAAATAAAACCTATTGTATACCCGGAAATCAGCGGCGTAGCCAGGGTCCTCATCCTAGGGAGCGTGTTGGGGGGGGGGGGGGGCGTTCAAAACCTATACCATAGTTAATGTATAGACAATAACTACCGCTAATCGCTTACCACGGACGTTAAAATAAACAATTAAGCACTAGGGGGGGGAACCTTTTATGGGGAAGGGGCGTGCGCCCCCACCCCCAATCCCCCACCCCCGTATAGCTACGCCGCTGCCAGAAATACCCGGGCGCTATCCGAGATAGAGGACGAAATGCAGTCCGCAGTCCGAACATTTTCGGAAACGGGAGGCATTTCCTCGCAATGAAATCGCGCTTTTCAAAGGAAATCTATACTTTGCGTTGAGAATAATGAAGATGCATCTTCACAGTTTTCACAAGAAAGTATACTCTACTGAGCTGAAATGTCTTCTTAGCCTGAATCAGATTTATTGTATTGTTGTTCCTCGAAACGGCAATTTGCAAGTGGTGTCCATTATATCTTTAATTCGAAAAGCACTACATGCGTA